TATGTACCCTTGTGTGTGTATGTGTGTGTTTCATTCTGTGTGTACATAGTGCTATTAATTAGGACTTTTATTCTTGTGGTTGTTGCCTTTTAAGAAATAGGATTGGACTTCTTAGTATGCCAACAAGTATTTGAACAGTGGAATGCTTTTAACTTTATTTAAAGATTCATTTAATATTTTGGCATTTACTGGGAACATGTACCTTGGTAACTTGTTTACTAAAATTTAAGCTACTTTTCAGATACCTGATCTTAACACAATTTAATGATTTGTAGAGCTCCCTTTTTTCCCTGGGGAGTTCTGGTGGTCTGGTCATAAGAAACAGCACCGTGATCCCAAAGGCATATAGTTCAAACCTGTCAGCTACTTCATAGGAAAAGGATGGACAGTCTCTTGTGTGATTTAGTGCCTTTGAAAACCTGCTGAAAAGTCAGCTAGGAGTTGGATCCAACTTGAAGGCACACAACAACAATTTAAAACTCAACTACTCATCTCTCTGTTCACTATATTGTGGTGACTTACTTGTTTTCTATAATGCTGGAAGAGACACCACAGTATTTCTTTTGTTTTTATTTATTCAAATATTTATTGAAGAGCTAGGGAGATACAAGGTTTATAAAACATGTTCAAAACATGAGTCAGTGTGCAAGTAAAAAGCAGGATACAGTTCACTGAATCACAGCAGTCAGTAGAAAGTGCCTTAGGAAATCAGTAAGATTGCTTCCAGCCTGCACTGGGGTGCGGCTAGGTGGCAAATCAGGAAAGGCGGTAAGATCAGCGTAGAAGACAGTCTGGATAGTTGATGATACTCAGGATCGACTATATTTGGCTCTCCTTTTTCTCTCCCCATCTTTGGGCTTAATTTACCAGTAGTGCCCAGGACTGTTCAGTGCACTTTTTCTAGACTTGCTTGCATTTTTTTTGCTTTAATGTCTTCTATAGAACTAGGTCCTTTTGGAGTATTGGGAATTTTTTCCTGTTTTTTTTTAAAGATTCTTGTCCTTTTGATCGTGTAATTAATGGTTTTGAGTCTTGTCCGTTCTGGTTTGATTTTTGTGCATTTTTGGCTGGACTATCCTGTATAGATTTCTTCACTGGTGCTTGTTCTTCAGCCTCATCTTCATCAAACCCGTCGTCATCGTCATCATCATCATTGTCATCAGTAGCAATTTTCACTTTCTTCTTGTTACCACCTGCAGGGGCAGATCTCTTTCCTGATGTACTTAAGAGTTTCACATCCTCCTCCTCTTCATCATCTGACTCTGCGTCTTCTTCCGCAGGTACTAAGTAAGTGTTGCCCACTTCTATGCACAGGCCCTGAGCCACATTGCAATTGTAAGACCACAGTTGGTGTTATTTCAAACCCCCAAGCGAAACCTCTGGGTGTACAGACATTTTCAAAGTTGCCAGTGTGACCTTAATTGTGCTGCCCTCATAATTCATTGCCTCTGCTTCAACAATGTGCAATGCATCCTTTGCACCAGCCCCTAAACCGACCATTCTTAAAGATAACTGGTGCTCATTTTCATCATTGTCCACCTTAAAGTGATAATCTTTGTCAGCTTTCAGATCACAACCGAAAAGGTAGTTTTGGGGCTGCAGGGGGCTCATGTCCATAACTATTGAATCTTGCATGGCTTGGTGACTCATGCTTATGTGGGAGAGAAGGACGGCAGTAAAACACCACTGTTACCAAGAACAGCCACTCAGGACGGAATCACAGCAGGGGACACCACAGTATTTCAAACACCAGCTCTCCCATGGTAGACAGGTTTCAGCAGTGCTTCCAGACTAAGGCTAAATGCAGGACTTGCTCTCCCCTTCTGCAGTTCAAGCTGGATTCAGAAGTGGCTGTAGAACAAGGAAAGTCTTCGCTGATGTCAGATAGATCTTGACTGAAAACAAAGAATACCACAAAGATGTCTACTTAGATTTTATTGACTATGCAAAGGCTTTCAACTTATGCAAAAGCGCAGTAAGTTATGGATAACATTGAGAAAATATGGGAATTCCAGAACACAAAACTGTGTACTCGATTTGACTTGATGGCACCTAACAACAATAGCGTTCAATCTGTATGCTGAGCAAATAATTCCAGAAGTTGGAGCTCCCTTAAATGAAGAAGAATGTGTTATTAGAATTGGAGGACTGCTTGTCAACAATGTATGTTATATTAATGACATACCCTTACTTGCAGAAAGTAAAAAAAAACCCCAAAACCTGAAGAAGATCAAAGACCACACACAGTCTTCAATATGGATTATACATCAACATCACAAAACCCCAAAATTGTCACAGTTATTCCAGTAGGCTACATCATGATAAATGGAAAAAAGATTGACATTTTCTTTAGTCAACAACAATCAACATCTGTGCTAGCAGCAGTGCAGAAATCAAAAGGTGAATTGCAGTGGGCATATCTGTCAAGAGCCTTTTTGAAGTGCTAAAGAGCAATAATGCCAGTTTAAGTCTGAGGTGCTCCTAATCTAGTCTTCATATGCATGTGAAAGTTGGACAGTGAATAAAGAAAACTGAAGAATCAATGCCTTTGAATTGTGGTGCTGATGACAAGTATTGCATATATTGTGAACTGCCAAATAATACATATTTATGCCCATTCCAAAGAAAGGTGATCCAGCAGAAGGTGGAAATTATAAAAGTATATTAATGATGCATCATTAATATCACATGTAAATTGAGTCTTCCTGAAGAATTTTGAAAAACAGCTGTAGTAGTACATTGGCAGGGAACCACCAAAAATTCATGTTGAATTTAGAAGAGGATGTGGAACTTTACTGACATCAGGTGGGCTTTGGCTAAAAACAGAACTCTCACCAGAACAATGTTTTCCCCTGTTTTATTAACTATGAAGTAGCAGTCATTTCTGTGGATTTTAACAGATTATAGGTAACATTGAGAAGAATAAACGTTTTAGAACACTTAATTGTGCTTATGTGTAACTGTATATAAACCAAGAAACAGCCGTCCAAACACATCAAGAGGATACTGAATGGTTTAAAATCGGGAAAGGTATGCGTCGGGGTTGTATTCTTTCACCGTATTTACGTAATCTATATGCTGAGCAAATAATCTGAGAAGCTAGATTATATGAAGACAGATGTGGCATCAGGATTGGAGGAAGACACAATAGCACTCTGATGCGCAGAGGATAGAACCTTGCAGAGAACAAGAAGACTAGAAACACCGTTGGTCGTTTACAGCTGATCAAGACCCTATGAACAAGAGATATGAATCTTGTTCTTTCCTGAGCCATTACAGTCTCTGATATACTTGAGACCATTGTTACAGTTACTCTGTCAGTCTCTCTTGTTGAGAGTTTTACTCTTTCTCTGACCCTCCAACTGTTTTAACATGAAGTCTTTTCCCAAGGATTGGCCCTTCCTGACATAGTTCAAAGACATTGATTATTTTTCTGACATCCTTACTCATTGTTCAACTTTCTGATGCATAGGAAGTAACTGGAAAGATTAATGGCTTAGATCAAGCAACCTTTTGTCTTTAAATTTGAAGCTCTGGGTATGATTAACCATGTGTAATGATTTGATTAAATATGAGTACACTTATTATCTAAGGTCTCAAGAACATAAGAAGCAGACCTAATATTAAAATATCTTAGTCTCACACTGACTGTAATTAATAGAGAATTTCTACTTGATTTTAGATTTCCTCCTTCTTCACCATTGAAACCATATCCAAAGAAGCCCTCATACCAAAAGGATGTGATTAAATTTCCAGAATGGAATGATCTGCCACCAAGTACTTCACAAGAGAACATCCCAGTGAAGCCAATTGTTATGGTAAGTGCCATGACCAAAAGTATTTCGAAGTAGGCACTTGGGAGAAATTGTCTGTGACTTTCCAAATGTAGTCCAGTTTTGCCTCTATTAGTTTCCTAAGGTTGCTGTAATGAATTGTCACAAACTAGATGGCTTGAGACAACAGGAATTTATTTTCCTACAGCCTAGAGGAGTTGTTCCTGGCTTCTGATAAGAGTTGGCAATCTGGTTGTGCTTGTGGAAGTATATGCCATTATTTCCCTATTTCCTCACAGGGCCATTTTCCTTATATATCTTCTGTTTTCTGAGTCTCTTCTTATTAAGACATCCATTATTGGACTACAACTATTTGTTATAGATTGTGCTATATCCTTCCAAAATATATGTTCTATATCTAACTATGCTCTGACTATAACTGTAGATCTCTAACTATGCCAAGGATTTCTCTAAAAATACTAAAGAGCAAGGATACAACTTTAAAGACTAAGGTAGGCCTCATTGATACCATAATATTGCTGCATATACATTTGAAAGCTGCACAGTGAAAAACGAAAATGGAAGAATTATTGGTGTTTTTGAATTGTGATGTTGGTGAAGAATATTGAGTATGCCATGACAGTCACAAGAACAAACAAATCTGTTGTGCAAGCAGTGTAGCCAGAGTGCTTCTCAGAGGCAAGGATAGTGAGAACTTGGTCTTACATACTTTGGACATGTTATCAGGAGAGGCTCATCCTCAGAGAAAAACATCATGCTTGGAAAAGTAGAAACTCTCATAACTCATTTCCGTTCAGTTGGAACCTTCTCATAGCAGACCTGCAGACCTTCCAGTAGGGTTCTGAGAGGCTACAAATAGCACTTGAGGAGATGCCCCATCTTTCTCCTGAGGAACCCTTGGTGGATTCTAATAAGCACACTTCAAGAAGCTTGTCTGAACATCATGAGACCCAGGCACAGAAGCTGAAGAGACGAGGACTTTTCCCAGAGCTGACATAGAGAGAAGAATTCTCCCCTGGAGCCAGTGCCTTGAATTGTGACTTCCAGCCTCCTAACGATAGTGGGGGGGTAGGGGAGCCGACAGGGGGTATTCTATTTGTTAAAGCCACCCATTTGTGGTATTACTATATAGCAGCACTTAGAAACTTAAGGTACTATTCAACTTTTTAGTATAACCTTATTTTAACTTGCTTCAGCAGACTTTATTTCCAGGCAAGGTCACATTGACAAGCTCTAGGTAATAGGACTTTGATACGTTTTTTTCCAAAGACACAAGGCAGCCAATACCACCCTGAATCCCTTATGTAATAGTAGTGGTCTGAGAGCACTTGAAAATAGTCTCATGGGAAGCTGAGGGGTGGAGGATAGGAAAAATGTGGATAGATAATGAACACTGCATTGGAACTGATGAGGAGAACTGTCTGAAAGGAATAATAGGTATCATATGTATGATAACAATCTGGAATAGGAGGTGTATTGCAAAGTGGATTAGAGAATGGGGAAGTGAGAGGAAGGGAGAAAAATGTGCAACAATGAATGAATAAAATAGTATCATACAACAGAAAGACAGTAATAAGGAAAAAGAAGAAAATAATATCTCCATAATATTATGCAGAGATAATTGCTATTATTAACATTTTTGGTTTAATCTTTTTTCTCCCAAATAGATTTTTTTTAAGGTATAAAGGTATATTTTATTATACACTTATGTCCCAAAAGATAGGACCCAACTTCCTCCTTGGAAAAGAAATAGAGAGGAGGCCTCCCCCATGTAAATTTTAACATAAAAGTAAAATAAGGAACTGTTTTGTAGCTTCTGCAGTTTTCACTTCCAGCAATGTGTGATGCCCCTTTTCTCTGTTATTCAAAATGTGACATCACTTAAAACATTTCAATATCTCATGTGACAGGAGTACATTTCATTTATTTAGTGCCATTTTTATAATTTTTATTGCCAGTTATGTATGGTGTTTAATTTTTAGTATTTATAAATAGTGACAACTTTATAGACAAATAATTGAATGTATCCATGATTATTCCCTTTAGGATACATTCTAGAAGTGAATTTTCTGTGTAAATGTATTAAATTTTGCATTTACTTTCAAAAGTAAAACCCTTATTTACTTTAGAGACTTGAAACAATTTCAGAGAGTCATGTGGACTTTGATTGACAGGTCAGTTATTTTCAAAACAAACCAAACTCCACCTTTTTTACTCTTTTATTTCTGTAATACTATCTTTGCAATATTCTATCATAGAAGCTCTTCTGAGCATTACTTCTCATTGTTTTGCTTTGAGAACCCAAAAATAGACCCAGCTATCTATGGTCAACTGATATTCGACAAGGAAATAAAATCTATCGAATGTGGAAATGACAACTTCTTCCACAAATGGTGCTGGCACAACTGGACTGCTACCTATAGAAAGCTGACACAGGATCCACATCTCACACCATACACAAAATTCACCTTAAGGTGGATAAGAGACTTGGGAGTAAAGCCCAAAACTATAAAGTTCATAAAAGACAAACTGGGATCAAGTTTAGAAACCCTAGTCTATAAAGTCTCTAAAGAGACTTACAAATACAACCAGAAATGTATGATCTGAAGAAGCTAAAATTGATGAATGGGACCTTCTAAAGATTAAATCCCAATGTTCATAAAAAACTTTTCCCAACAAAGTGAAAAGAAAACTTGCTGACTGAGAACAAACATTTGGCAATACCATCTTGGACAAGAGTCTCATAACAAAAGTTTGTAGAATATTCTTGGGCCTCCGCAAGAAAAAACCTGATAACCCAATTACAAAATGGGCAAAAGACATGGAAAGAATTTTCAAAGAGGAAGCTATTCAAATGGCCAACAGATCTATGAAGAAATGCCCCAAATCATTGGCAATAAGAGAGATGCAAATCAAAACCACAATGAGGTACCGTCTCACTCCAGTTGCAGTGGCAAAGTTTAACAGGAGAGGATGTTGTGACATAGGAACTCTTTTACATTGTTGGTGGGGTTGTACTCCACTCTGGAAGGTAGTTTGACATTTCCTCTAAAAGCTGAACATAGTAATTCCATATGACCTAGCTATTCCATTGCTTGGAATATACCCCAGGAAAAGGAGAACTGAAGCTCAAATGGCAACTTGTACAACAATGTTCATAGCAGCATCATTCACCATCGCAAGAATATGGAAACAGCCTAGATGTCCAACCACGGTCGAATGGATTGAGAAGTGGTACATTCATACAATGGAATACTATGCAGCATGCAGGAGCAATCATTTTTAAATTACTATGTAACTTGGGAGGGACTGGAGAGCTTTATGCTCTCACTTAGAACTAACTCAGTTCCACAAGAACAAATACTGTATAAACCATTATTGTAGCATGAGTATAAGGATCCAAGGGGGGGGTGAGGGTGAAAATAGAGGGGTGAGGATGGATAAGGGGGTAGGTGTTAATCATAGGGTTTCACAATTCAGTGGGTGGGTGGGGTGAAGGAAATGGGAAGGATCTTTTGTTAAAACAATGTATTCAAACCTTGTAAATAAATCAGAATTAAAAAAAAGAAAAAGAACAACACAAGACAATGTACAGAAATGATTGTATAAAACGAAATGTACAGGAATGAAACAATGTATATAAATAATTGTATAAAAGTGAATGATGGTATAAATAATAATAATTTTTATAATTGTCATGCTTCAAGCAAGATGTGACAAGTCATCAAGATCAAAAAACTTTCATCAGCATTTGTTGAAACATCTCAATTGG